ATTCTGAAACGACATGTGCGGTGTGCCCTTTTCCCAGAGATTGTCAGCCGCGCCGTCGTCAATGATGGTGTCAATTACTAGTCCTACTCCGTCTTTTTTTTTCTTTCTTCATTCAGCTCAAGCCACGCCGTTAGTTAAAAAGCACCGAAAAGGAGAGGTTCGCTACTGATCGAGCAGCTATTTGACGTAGCAGGAACATGAAATGTCAGGGTCCTAGTGGCTCATGGCTTTTTTTAATTTTTTATTTTCAAATAAATTCTTCCAAAACTCACATTTAAGGCTGCGTTCGTTTGTGTGAGATAAGGTGAGAAAACACCTCGTTTTCCACATGCACGCTTCCCAAACTACTAAACGGTGTGTTTTTTGCAAAAAATTTCTATAGGAAAGTTGCTTTAAAAAATCATATTAATCAATTTTTGAAATTTAAAATAGTTTATACTCAATTAATCATGCGCTAATGACTCATCTCGTTTTACGTATCTTTCTAATTTTCTCAATCCCCTATCTCTCCAACTCACCCTAAATCTGAACCTCGTAGCGAAACAATACAGCACAAAACATGGTAGAGGTTTATTATTATGTAATGGTAGCGCACAACGATACAAGCAATGTACCTTTGCTCATGTAAAGTCATAAGAGCAAGGTTAATAGTATAGCTAACTACTAACTTCAATTTATCTATAGCTAATCTAATAGCTAATTCATACAATAGTTGCTTACTATACTATTAGTATATGGTCCCACTGTCATACACACATTGTATCTTGGAGTCCGTGTTGTAGCTGGCTACAGATCTGTAGCCCGCTGTTCTTCTCTCTCATCTTTTATCTTATTAAAATATGTTTGTAGCTGGCTAATAGTCTGCTATTATAACTGCTCTAAGGTCATTCCCAACCCAATGACTAGGATGATGTCCATAACATTAAATAAGCTGCCACATAGGATGAAAAATGATATGGCAAGTGAATAAATGAGGAAAGAGAAGGAAACCATGTCTTGCATGAGACATGGTTTCTACACAACATCCAAGACATCATGTGAGATAGGTAGCATTAAATTTAAGTATGGAATAGTGGTGTTTGCATTGGAAGAGTAGTGTCTAGTACTAGTTTCTTGATGATGTGGAGTTTATGAAAACTATGTCTAGTGTCTTAGGTTGGGAATGGCCTAAGAGAGGCAGAAGTAGACACAATTAACCTGATCCGGTAAAAGTGTAGTGCATTTTCGAGTGACACACAACTACGGCTACATTGTGACAATGACACAAAACGATAGTTTGCGGGACAATTGGGACAGTAGGTATAACAATTAACCAATATATATACTCCCTCCGTCTCAATATGTAGCAACCTAGCTAGGATGGGATTAGACTTGTAGTTCTAGGATGGGTCTAATTCCATCCTAAATTGCTACATATTGGGACGGATGGAGTAATTACTTACTACTATTATTATGTAAAAAAAATACTTACTACTATTGCTATAGCTAGTATATCTAGTTAGTATTTGTACATATGTGTGTAGGCGTGGGAGTGTGTATAACGGTGTATGTGTGTGCGTGTATGTGAGCACATATATCATGCCATGAGAATCATATACATTCATATGTATATCTAGGAAGATGTAAAACCAATCGAATTATTCCTACCATATTCATATGTGTAATATCAATCCATGTAACCAGGAATTGAACACAATCGAAGATGACTTTGATGTCACTCAAATTGAACACAATGATAGCTTGACTGTGTGTTGGTGTAGGGAGATTGAAAGAGGATGAAAATGAAGAAGGACGAGGGAATCAACACCTTAGATAGAAGAGAGCGATGAGGGATGTCAAGGAAGAAGGAGACGTCAGCAGCATGAGAGTGTCTAAACTCCTAATGGCATGGTAGCAACTGGCTTGGGCAATACTACCTCTCATGTAAGAGATTTTGTCCATATAGTTAGATTGAGGTAGTACTTCATATACTTAATCGGAACCTATTATCAACATAGTTTGAGGTTAGGTGGGTAGCGGCTAGTGGGTTGGACCATGTTGCGAGCCCAACAAGGAGGAGGTGAGTTGGGGTTTAGCCCAAAATTAACATTGTTGATTTGGAATTCAATAAACATTTTTTGATATATTTGAACTGACTTCGACTTGAAAGGCTGTAAAAGGAGGGAGGAAAAGAAGCAATGGAGTGGGGGATGCACTCGGAGGGAAAGAGGAACATGCAAGGGCTTTAAAACATCTTCACAAAAAAAGATCACTTATTTGTTTGTATTTCTATCTGCAGTGAGCTGGCACGTTTCGATGTCTATCGACAGTGAGCTTGCGTATGTTTCGATGTATATCTCTCCTGGCTTTAGCTAGGGAGATTCGTTCTAGCCTGGTTAAGCTATAGTGAAGATAAACCTTGCTAGTTGTTAGATTTCAGTAGCCGCTAATTCCTGCCTATATACGCCAAACTATCAATACCCAATAAACGGGGGCAAATTATTTGTGGACATCTATACCCCTACAATTTTCTCGCGACGCTGGCTTGGCCCACAAATTAACATTGTTGATTTGGAATTTAATAAATATTTTCTGGTAGATTTGAACTGAATTCGACTTGATAGGCTCTAAAAGGGAGGGAGGAAAAGAAACAGGAGAGTGGGGAATGCACTCGAAGAGAAAGAGAAACATGCAAAGGCTTCAAAACATCTTCGCAAAAACAAATCATTTATTTTGGACTTTGATGCGAGGTTTGTTTGTATTTCTATCTATAGTGAGCTGGTACGTTTCAATTTCTACCAGTCGTGAGCTTGCACGTTTCGATTTCTATCGGTAGTGAGCTTGCATACGTTTCGATATATATCTCTCCTGGCTTTAGTCGGCGAGATTCATTCTAACCTGGTTAAGCTACAGTGAAGATAAATCTTGCTAGTCGTTAGATTTCAGTAGCAGTCAATCTGTGCCTATGTATGTCAAACTATCGACGACCAAGAAACAGGAGCAAAATACTTATAGACATCTATACCCTACAATTTTCTCGCAACACAAGCTTGCTAGAGATCAAGAGATAACCGACTTTAAAACCAGTAGACCAATGTTACTTTAGCAAATGCATAATCTTTGTCTAGGTAGTTAAGACTACCATTGATCTCCACATCATGACTATATATGGATTATTAATGTAGTAGCATGGTTGCCCAACTTGTGTCAAAGTAAATGTGCCCCCCCCCCACAACACACACACACACCTCAAAAAAAAGTGTGTGCTCCACATTGGAGTAACAAGCAACTACAACAATACATGCAGGAATATGAGCATCCACTGTTTGCCCCCCTGGTCCCTTCCATGCAGTAACAGTTGTCGCATCCTCGATGCGCCATGGAGAGTGGCAGGATTGGCAACCCAAGCCACCACCACCTCCCGTTACTCGCCGCTAACACCGTATCCTCGCAGCGGCACCCTCCCCAAGCATGATGGCGTCAAGGAAGAAGGAGACATCAACAACATGATGGTGTCTGAACTCCTAACGACATGGTTGCAACTGGCTTGGGCAATACTACCTCTGTCCCCATAATATAAGAAATTTTGCCCATATAGTTAGACTGAGGTGGTACTTCAAGCACTTAATCGGAGCCTAGTATCAACATAGTTTGAGGCTAGGTGGGTAGCGGCTAGTGGGTTGGGCCATGTTGCGGACCCAAAAAGGAGGAGGTGAGTTGGGGTTTGGCCCAAAATTGACATTGTTGATTTGGAATTTAATAAACAATTTTTTGATAGATTTGAACTGAATTCGACTTGTCGAGTTATAAAAGGGAGGGAGGAAAAGAGTAAGAGAATAGGGGATGCACTCAGAGGGAAAGAGAAACATGCAACGGCTTTAAAGCATTTTCACAAAAAAAAGATAACTTGTTTGTTTGTATTTCTATCTGTAGTGAGCTGGCACGTTTCGATTTCTATCGGCAGCGAGCTTGCATACGTTTCGATGTACATCTCTCCTGGCTTTAGCTGGTGAGATTTGTTCCAGCCTGGTTAAGCTATAGAAAAGATAACCCTGGCTAGCCGTTAGATTTTAGTAGCCATTAATTCCTGCTTATATATGCCAAACTATCGACGGCCAAGAAACGGGGGCAAAAAATTTGTGAACATCCATACCACTATAATTTTCTTGCAACACTGGCTTGGCCCAAAATTAACATTGATGATTTGGAATTTAATAAATTTTTTGGTAGATTTGAACTAAATTCGACTTAACAGACTATAAAAGGGAGGGAGGAAAAGAAGCAAGAGAGTGGGGGATGCACTCGGATAGAAAGAGGAACATGCAAACGCTTTAAAATATATTCGCAAAAAAAATCACTTATTTAGGACGTGATGCAAGGTTTGTTTGTATTTCTATATGCAGTGAGCTGGTACGTTTCAATTTCTATCGGTAGTGAGCTTGCACATTTCGATTTCTATCGACAGTGAGCTTGTGTACGTTTCGATATATATCTCTCATGGCTTTAGACGGCGAGATTCGTTCCAGCCTGGTTAAGCTACAACAATGATAAACCTTGCTAGTCGTTAGATTTCAGTAGCAGTTAATTCGTGCCTATGTTCGCCAAACTATCGAAATGGGAGCAAAATACTTACGGACATCTATACCCCTACAATTTTCTCGCAACGCAGGCTTGCTAGAGATCAAAAAATTAAAACCAGTAGATCAATCTTACTTTACCAAATGCATAATCTTTGTCTAGGAATTTAAGCTAGGCTACAATTGATCTCCACATCATAACTAATGGATTGTGAATGTAGTAGCATGGTTGCCCAACTTGTGTCAAAGTAAATATGTCTCCAAAAAAAGTGTGCGCTCCACGTTAGAGGAACAAGCAAGCACTGTAATACGTGCAGGAATTGAGCATCCACTGCTTGCCTCCCCCCTTGGGTCCCTCCCATGCAGTAACAGCTGTCGCATCCTCGGAGAAGGGGCAGGATCGGCAACCCAACCTAAGTACCCAACCCAACCCCCTTCTCCTCCCGTTATCCCGCCCGCTAACGCCGTAGCCTGGCGGCGGCGCCTCCCCAAGGCCGTCCACTGACAGGTGACAGCTACACCAGTGATGAGGCAGTGAGCTGCCGCTGCCGCTGCCGCCGCCGCAGGCAGATCTGACACACGCCGCGCCACTCCAAAGCCTACTTCCGCTGCTGCTGCACGGCACAGCTGCAGCCAGCAGGCAGCAGCAGCAGCAGCAAGCGCCGGCCCGCGCGCGTGACGAGAGAGAGCGCGCGCGCGTGCGAGGCGAGGCCAAAAATCACCCACAAAAGCAAGCGAAAAACACCGCGGAAAAAAAGGGAGCCTCTCTCGCGGAACAAGGCATTGCCCGCCCCGGTCACCGCATTTCGGGATGGAGGCGGCGGTGGGGGACGGGGAAGGCGGTGGCGGCGGCGGCGGGCGGGGGAAGCGTGGGCGGGGAGGAGGAGGAGGGGAGATGGTGGAGGCGGTGTGGGGGCAGACGGGGAGTACGGCGTCGCGGATCTACAGGGTGAGGGCGACGGGGGGGAAGGACAGGCACAGCAAGGTGTACACGGCGAAGGGAATCCGCGACCGCCGCGTCCGCCTCTCCGTCGCCACCGCCATCCAGTTCTACGACCTCCAGGACCGCCTCGGCTTCGACCAGCCGAGCAAGGCCATCGAGTGGCTCATCAACGCCGCCTCCCCCGCCATCGACACCCTCCCGTCCCTCGACCCCGCCGCCTTCGCCGCCATTCCCCACGCCGCCGCCGACGCCGCGCCCACGCGGCGGCGTTCGCAGCAGCAGCAGCAGCAGCTCAGCAACAAGTCCGGATGCAGTAGCACGTCGGAGACCAGCAAGGGGTCGGACAAGGAGGTCACCGTGGCGAGCGCCCCGGCGCAGGCCGCGTCGTTCACTGAGCTGCTCATTGCTGGGGTGGCGGCGTCGTCGGCGGGGGGTGGCGCCATTGGCAACGGCGCCGACTGCGTGGGCATCGCGCACCCCGGGAAAGGAGGCGCGGAGGGGGCGTCCACGTACGGCTTCTCCGCCGCCTCGAGCTTCGGCGACGCGCCACCGATCGGCATGGTGCCGGCGCCGCCGTTCAACTTCTCCGCCCCCGGCGCCGACATGGCGGCGCACTACTCGCTCGCCCAGGACCAGCTGGCGGCGCCTCCGCCTCCTGCCGGAGGCGACTACAACCTCAACTTCTCCATGTCCTCGGGTTTCTTGGGTGCCAATAGGGGGACCCTTCAGTCCAATTCGCCGTCGAACATGTCCGGCCACCACCACCACCACCATCAGCAGCAGCTCCAGAGGCTGGACGGCTCCACCATTTCCTTCCTGCTTGGCCACGCCGCCGCGGCGGCGCACCCGGCGGCGTCCGAGGGCCAGATCACCAGCACCGCCGCGTTGCAGCTGTGGGATGGATTCCGCCACTCCGGCATGAAGGAGAAGAGCAAGAACTGATCGATCCCAGCAACGCATCCTCCAAAGGTAAGAGACTAGATTTCGTAATCTAAGACTAATGTTCGCGCAATTTCGTCATCTTGATTCGATTGCAATCTTCTTGGAAGCCGCTCGAGGTGGCCTCGTTCCCTGAAAAATCCCACTAAAAACTCTTTTGTTGCATTCGACGTGTGTCCCCAAAAACTTTCGAGGCGGGATACCTGCATTTTGCTTTGCATGGATTCAGGCCAAACAGGTGTCGATTGCTCATCGCTGGGGGAAGGATTTCGTAGGAATCAGGCCAATCACATGGGTTCTGAGTTGCACGGATTTGCATTTTTAATGCAATAAACTGTAGGAAGCCATATCTACTCTACGTCGCATTATACACGGAAAAAGGATCGAAGTTAATAGTATGAATTGCATCAACATGAACTGGCAAGCTGTATATACTGTTCGTATGACAATATATGCAGCAAGCCTTGAATGAAGCAAGTTACTGTTCAAATCACAAGAGTTCCTTCTAAGAAAATTATGGAAAATAAGTGAGATCTTTATACAGTAAGAAAAGGTGTTTCATTTATTATTTGCATTGCAATGCGTACTCATTACTAGAACTTACCAGTTCTAGTAGATTATTAAAGCATGATGAACAGTACTTAGCCAAGTAGTAATTGGTTTAATTAGGAAGTTAGAAATTGAAGAAATGCTCTATATGTCTAAAGGAACAGTGCTTTATGATATTTTTTTTTCTGAAGTGAAATGTTGAAATGACACTTTGGTACAACCACATAAAAGCCAAATTAAAGAAGTGAAAAACTTTATGGTCATATATAGCATATAACATCTCAAGGTGGGTTGTGGATCAAACAATAAATTTTAGTAAAGTGAGACCCACTTTAGGCCCTGTTTAGTTTCAAAGTTTTTTTCCAAACTTCCAACTTTCCATCACATCAAACCTTTCATACACACACAACTTTTCTATCACATCGTACCAATTTCAACCAAACCTCCAAACTTCAGTGTGAACTAAACACAGCCTTAGTTTTTAAGAAGGATGCCATAATAAAAGATTTTTCCTAGTACTAACAGAGGTATGCCTGCTCTGAATATGATAATGGAAACCTGGAGTATAAAAGACATTAGATATTTGAAAGTGTTGACAGTACCATAAAGCATTTCTACCTGTGCATGATTAGTTAGTAGTACTTGTTCTCCTATCTGAAGAAAAGATAGAGTTAGTACAGCTCTGAATGATCAACTTTATGAACCTTGGTAGTATTAGATAGTCTTCTATTGATATGTTATAATTGTTTGGTGATCTTATTTATTCCATCATCACAATTCACACTTGTTCTATACAAATTTTCTCAACTAAAGCTTGATATATATGAACCAAAGTTCAGCTCAATTTTGCTTTGGCATTAGAGCCTGTCAAACCAGTGTTAGAAATGAAAATCAATTAAAAAAAATCCTGAAAAGGGTAGGACTTATGTATCTCTTGTGCTTTTCCTTTAATTGGGCTTTGCAAGCTTCCAAAGTGAGCTAGGCACCTTGCATCTTATGGATAGAACGTTGTTTTCCTTCAAATGTTGCAAACTTCCAACTTCGCACTATCTAGTGCAGGTCCATTTGGAAAAATGTTGGCTGATGGGTAGTGTTCCTGGTGGGGGACCTAACCAGGTAGTGTACACGATTACATGTGCAAACCTGACCATTGTTAAGTATTAAAACATCATACTCAAATCTTAACCAGTACTAGTAGTATTGTTTAGAAAATCCTAGACAGCTGACCTCCTAATTTGCTAGCCAATTAATTAGGAGCATGTTTTGATTCAGTGTATGCATGGACACCTTCTTGCTGGGCATCTAGATTAAGGTAATACTCTATTTAGTAGAAGTACTAGTAGTACATTTTTCTGGCGTGACTGCTATGCTCATCAACAGGGAGTAAATTGAAGTAGTCTGAGAGACAAACAGTCAGGGAGGTAGTACAGTTTCAGGTCTTGATGGATGTTCCGTTCCTAACTGTATGCTGGCATGGTTCTCACTGCAACCAACTTCCAAACATGAAGAACGTTTTCAAAAATTGAAAATGAGTTCATTTTTCTTCAGACACGAGTTGTTCTTTTCCCCCCGTTCGTTGTGTGCAGTAAAAGCTGCCGGCAAGTCACTCTACATCATCTGTTCAATATTCTTTTTTTTAGATAATTCTGTTAAATATTCTCATCTTATTATACTAGTATCCCCCAATGGCATCCTAATTTCTGTTCACATAATGCCTGAGGTGTCCTCATATCACTACACAAGTTGACATCTACAAGAAACATCTTACAATACAATTTTCTTACCAGTAGCATTTGCAGTACAAACTACAGTAATTAATTACTACAGAATTTTGCATCTCATCACCATGTCTGTCAACCTGCAGGAACTGAAGATATCATCATCAGATTAATTGTTGTCACCTTTCCAGCAAGAGCTCACCGTGGGGAGCTGCTACAAGTTTATTGCGATGACTGCCCGTGTTCTTTTAGCTGGGTCATCGTTCTGCTATGCTGTTTTTTGGCCATCATGAACACCCTGCCGCTGCTGCTACCTGCCATTGCCATCACTCAGACAATCTTGTGAATTTCCTTCTTTTTCCTAGATGAAGCTGCTGTACAAATTTTTGTGGGAGACGTGAGTTTCGAACAAGAATAAGCGTGTCCCGTAGCCAGCGTTAAACCTTTCCCTTCCAGAAATATTTTTCGAGTGAATTGAAATTCATATGTGCCTCTGGTTATTGGAGTGGCATTATTGTGTTCTCTCTGTCTCGCGGTTTGCGCTATAAAGTTGAGATAAATCTGATCATCTCGTGGTTCGTCCCGTTTATTTCCTCAGGATTGAATTTAAATTCCATACATACATGGCTACATACTACATTTGTCAAAAGAAAATCCAACCTAGGTAAGGATGTAGTCCAAGTTTGATTATTTTTTTTTAAGACGGAGAGAGCAGTCCCTCTCTTTAAAATATACTTTGCGAGGGAGTAGACATTTTGCGTGATGCCTGGTCTCCAATATTGTTAGAGGTGTGTTAGGACATAGTAAAATGTACTTTCTCCGTCCCGCAAAAAGACCTAATCTAGGAGATGAATCTTGACATACACTATATTCATATTTCATCTTTAGAATTAGATTCTTTTATGAGTATGGTGACTGATTAGCTTATGGATAGGTTCTTTGTAGTGGAACTAGGATTCATCATTCATGTACTAGACAGGGGTGTTTGCATTTACAAGTAATATGTATTTTTTCATACTCCCTCTGTCCCTAAAAAATCTCCCTAAAAAATCAATCTAGTACCGGATATGACACATCATAGTACTACGAATCTGAACATATATATGTCTAGATTCATCGTATTATAATATATCTCATCCGGTGCTAGATTCGTTTTTTTATGAAACAGAGGGAGTATGTGTTTATAAGGATAGTCGGTAAGTGGCAGAAGATGAGTGTGCGCACATCACGCTGTGACTCTAAGTTTGTACCGTGTTTTTTCCCAAAGCTTTTTCCCTTTTAGCCTTGCACCGTGTGGACATGGGGCCAAATCTAAGTGATGGCCTGCTAGGCAGCAACAATATAGCATGGGCCTCACGGCCCATATAGGCGTTTGGAGTGTGTGTCCTCTTGCACGTGACACCTTGAGAAACACGGAGAGAAAATTCCCGAATTAGTGGCTAAACAACTAAACAAGTACTCGTACTAACTTAAATTTCTATAATGCATAAGAGTACTCAGCAATCCGCATAACCAAAGCCAACTTTTTTTAGTTTCAAAGGACAAACTTTATTTAGTGACAATCTCAGAGAATCGGAGGCAACTCTCTGCTGCCACCAACCATCCCACACACAAGCACTCAACGGTAACAACAAACTCACACACACTTGGCCACTGAAACAACGGACGAATCGTTCACGTAGCGAACGCAACCGCCAATCGATCCCTGCAACTTCGCATCCACCGATCTACTCGACGCCGTACTTCTTCTTGAGGACGCCGACGAAGTCGTAGACCTTCTCCGGCGAGGGGAGGTGCTTGACGACGGAGTCGATCCGGCCGCACCGCCGCGCCCACGCCGCCAGCCTCGGCGCCACCTCCTCCACGCTGAACCCGCCGCACCTCTCGTAGCTGTAGAACCACGCCGTGAACGGCACGAGCGCGACGTCGACGAACCCGAGCCTGCCGCCGCCGCCGCCGCCGAAGAACTCCCGGTCGCCGAGCTCCGCCTCCAGCGTGCGGAGGATCTCCGCCATCTCGCGCCCCGCCGCCGCCTGCGGCTCACCCTTGAGCCTCCACAGCCTGGACCCGCAGTCGTAGAGCTTCCTGTCGACGTAGTCCGCCCAGAACCTCGCCGTGGCGCGCGCGTACGCGGCGTCGGCGTCGCCGGAGTTCGCCGGAGGGAGGAGGTGGGGGGTGCCGGGGAACGCGTCGTCGAGGTACTGGAGGATGACGAGGGACTCGGAGACGGGGCGGCCGGCGTGGAGGAGGACGGGGATCTTCCTGTGGACGGGGTTGGAGCGGAGGAGGAGGTCGCTCTTGTTGCCGAGGTCCTCCTCGCGGTACTCGAACTCCAGCCCCTTCTCCGCCATGGCGATCCGGCACCGCTGCCCGAACGGGCTCACCCAGAAATCGAGCAGCACCAGCTCCTTCTCCTCCGCCATGGCTATAGCTTTTCAACTAGAGACCGAGTTGTGTGTTGTTCTTTGGTAGTGGAGGGCGATCAGTGGGTTGGTCGCTTTTATAGGTAGCAATGGATGGATTCCTCAGCATTCGACTGCATCGCGCCTTTATCACTTGGGACTCATTTAGGACATGATACAGTGACAGCGAAGGATCTCAATCCGTTTATGATGTGTTTAGTTCACGTTAAAATTAAAAATTTGGTTGAAATTGAAACGATGTGATGAAAAAGTCGCAAGTTTGTGTGTAGGAAAGTTTTGATGTGATGAAAAATTTGAAAGTTTGAAGAAAAAATTTGGAACTAAACTCGACCTCCTTATGTTGTGTTTAGTTCACGCTAAAATTAGAAGTTTGGTTAAAATTAGAATGATGTGACGGAAAAGTTTAAAGTTTATGAGGCTGTTTGGATCCATCCCATAGAATGCCGCACCTCATGTTAGTCAGCTACAACTGCTTATCCTTTGTTTGTTTTGCTTCTATAGTTTAGCCTGCCAAAGAAAGTTAGGTAGCTTCTTGCTGCTTTGCCACATATTTTTGAGCCAAAGCTATGTTAAGAATTTCGTTCGCCACACTTTTGGTATGTGCTAACTTGAGGTGTGGTAAGTTGAAATACCCAACCAAATATACCTTATGTGTGTAGAAAAGTTTTAATGTAATAAAAAAGTTAGAAGTTTAAAGAAAAAATTTGGATCTAAACACGGTGTTAGAAGTTGAGCGTGAGTTCGGGAATGGTCGGGTGGTGACAGCCTGACAGGTGCTCGGTAGGTTTGATGGTGTGTGTTGTTGCCGTATGTGATGAGCTCACAAATGGTGCGAGGGTAGGGAGCAAAACAACTGAAACACTAACCCATGCCCAGTGCAGCAGCTCACCGGCCGGCGAATTCGTGTGTCACTGCTTGCGTCAGTGAAGACGGGCGCCGTCATGTTTATTAGTATACTCAAGTTTATTTTTCCTTCGTGTCAAAAGACAGGGGCGTTCAAATTATAATCAAAATAAACCTTATCAAAATTTATCAATAGTACTAAATTAGCAATATTATAAAAAATGATAGGATTTCTTATATATTTACTAAAGTTCGGTAACAAACTAAATATAGGTATATCTTTTTGGTATATCTTTTTGCAATTTTACCAAAAATAGTGTGGTTGAAAATGGCATCAATCAAACAACCCATTTAATACATATATATTATTAGATCAAGATATAATTATTTTTCTCTTTATCTACTCATAGTATATTTATATCAATTATTTTACAAAACTCTAATACGAAATGATTACTGAAAAGATAAATTTATTTTTTGTACTAGAAAAATGCCCGTGCGTTGCAACGGGTGAAGGTTATTTTAATCTTATTATTATTATACGTTTTACTTTAGGTGAAATTTACTGTGAGAAATCGTTTGAATATATATTTTATCCAACTTCCTTTCATGTTGATTTGGTGTTTTTCATCATCTTAATTTGAAAATTTAGAGTTCTAATTTGGGAACTTTTGAAACGGGGGTTTCATATTTGGCTTGTGGGTTTGATTGCTTGCGGTTGTCGGCCTTGCGTGTTTTACACAGGATGCGGAAGACGCGCGTTCGATGCCAGGTGATGGAATCGGACAGCGTGAGCGTGTGCGACGATGGACGAAAAATTCTACAGAAACCAAATTTAAATTCAGTTTAATTTATTTATTGCTACATCCGTACTAATCAAAACATAAAAAGTTTTATAGTTGGACACAAGTATTAATAATAAAATTTGTGAAATTAAATGGGAATAAATTCTAAAGGCTAAAATTATTAAATTTTGAGACGGAGAAAATACCAAATAGCATACTCTATAGCCAATCACAATTAGAAGATTAGGGCACCCACAATGGTTATCTATAGGCTCTCTACAAGAGATCTATGTCAGCATATTTTTCTACTTGGAATGTATTAAATGAAGAGAGAGAGCAAAGCTATCTACTAACTTAGAGATAGTCTATAGAGAAAAACGAGGCAATGCATGAGAGAGCTATAGATACCAATGTAGACATACTATTAAGGTGGTTTACTATTAATCGAGTCTATTGCTGAGATGTACATGTTTTATAGATAGCACCTTACTTTACCATTGCGGGTGCTCTTATGGGCTGATACGTTACTTGGGCTGAGGCCTAGGTAGGCATTGAGGACGTCAGCCCCTTCGCTGTCCGTCTCACCTGCAATACCGGTCTAATCCCTTTTTTTCTTCTCGCTAATAAACGAAACGGCTAAACAGAATAAACGAAGCCGCAAAACAGAAACAGAATCGGATTAGAAAGACGTACGAAAATTTGTGGCAAAAACATCTTCAATTTTTATAATAGGTAAAGATAAACGATAAATAGGTAAAGATAAACGATAGTGGCAAGAACAAACTTGTTATAAAATGCAGGGAGACAGTAAGTCGAATGCACTAAAACAAAGTGTACTAACTCTCAACATCGTGCGGGCCTGCGACTGCGAGGGAGGTGGACGGGACGGCGGGTGGTGGGGGCGTCGTGGATGCGATGCTAATAACAACCGGCGCACGGCGGCACGCGGATTGGGGATTTCGCGGGGCGGAAGTGTGCGACATACGTACGGGATGACGCCGCGGCGGCGGCGGCCGCCCGCGCTGCCGCTCCTGTACGCCGAAGAAGCAAGAAAGATCGCGATGTAATTAAGCCAATTAATTGTGCAATTTTTGTATGGAGTATGTTGCTCCGTATACCATACAATTTTTTTTTGCCTGTTTCTCGGATCTAGATATACTGGATTTTGCAGGAATCGACGTGCATCACATGGATACGTCTCGAACTACCTTCACAACGCAACAGTAGGTCAGTAGTTGGTGGTGATCAGTTTCACACGTGACCGTTTTCGTGCGATTCCGTGGCAGTGACTGGCTGGCGTAAAAAAAAAATAATGCACTCCATAGGCTACGCTAACCCAATCACCTCCTTCTCTTGTTCTTATCTTTAATGATATCGCCCTCAGTGTTTTCGTGTATGTTAGTACATGTAGGCTGGTACAAAATCACACGGTAACTTAACAACAAAAGAAAACACTTACGAATTACGATACTACCAGAATGCGCTATCGCGCGCTATCAGTGCTATAGACTGAAATAGGCTAAGGCCCCGATCGAGAGTGAGAGACGGGAAATAATTCCTCCGGTACGGAAAACGAAGCCGACCATTAGTACATGATTAATTAAGTATTAAATATTTTTTTTTGCAAAAATAGATCAATATGAATTTTTTAAGCAACTTTTATATATAAACTTTTTTTAAAAAAACACACACACCGTTTAACAGTTTAGGAAGCGTGCGCGCGAAAAACGAGGTGGCGGGAGCGGTTGCCCGCGGGAACGAGTGCACCCTAAGAAAGAAAACTGGATATGAATGACATAGTGACGAAGCCACCTCCCAAACATATCGGACGATCGACCAGGCTCCACCGATGTAATAGATATTAAAATTAGTCGATCATAAAAAAACGCTTTTAGTCATTCGGGCTTGACGGGCGGCGGTGACTCCACCACTGGAATGACATGACGGTGCATGTTAGAAATATTTCTTTCTCTTTGTAAATCATTATTATTGAGTAATGCTAGATAGTGAGCAACATTCCATCATAAAGTTAAATCTAGGGGTGGATGCTTGTTAAACCATAAACCACTATGGTTATTAAACGAAATGAACTGAATATGAGTATGGAAAAAAAAAAAGGCTTCACCTAACGGATATGAATATGGGTACCCATATGGCCAGCCCCTTTTCCTGGTTAAACTTCCATATCTTTTAATGAGAAAATGAGTAGAGTATATCTCATTTTAGCCTTTTGGACCTCCCTATTCGTTAGGTGAACTAGTGACTATCTTATCCTTCGGATAAAGGTTGTCCTTTTGTTGCGGGGATCCTTGGGGAAAAGATTGAATCACTCTTGTTATATCGCTTGATTTACTATATAAAAATGTCCCCTCTTTTTCGCCCCTTTTTTTTTTGAGAATTATAGCCCAGACATATAACTTTAAAATTCAATAAAACTAATAAAGAAGGAAACATTCAGATACAAAAGATAAGTCAATAAAATAAAAAAGTTAGATTTTGGTTCATCACATAGTATCGTAATTTTAGATGGCTGATTTATTTTTTTTAAAAAAATATTTAGGCGGTTGACAAATTTCATGGTTTTTTCTCCCCAAGCCCACCTTAGTACTCCTATGGGCCTCTTCTTATTCCTCGTTAAACCGAAGGCCTTGGACCAAATACACAGCCCATTAACACAAGATTAATGACCCACAGGAAGGCTAGTCAACGGTCAACGCTTGACCGCCCCCAACGCGCCAAGACCTGACTCGAGCCCAACTAGGAAACGGAAAAAAAAAAGAAAAAAAAAGAAGAAGAAAAGGCCCACGCGTGTAGCGCCACCTGCAATAATAGCAAGCGGCTTCGTCTCCTCTCCTCCTCCGGCGACGCGATCGAGAAGCGGCGCCGGATTTTGCCGCCGGCGACGCGCGGCTGAGGGGGCGGCGGGAAGGGGGTGGGGGTGGGGAGGAGGGATTCCGCAACCCCGCGCCCATGGCAGGTTCGTCGCTTGCTTCTGCGACTCTTCGCGCTGTTTCTCCCCTCTGGAACCGGTTGGGTGGGTGGTTAGGCTGACTCGATCCGGGGGAGAAGGGAAGGAAGGAGGGAGGGATCGATCGATTCATGAGGGGTTACGTCTGCTCGGTTCGTTTCTGGAGGGGGATTTTGGTTCCTCGAGTTCCTGATTTATGTTGGGGATTTTGTGACTGTGGTTAGGGTAGGAGGCTAGGAGCTAATCAGCTAAACGATCATGAAACGTAGAATTGTCCTTTAGGGACTAATCAATTGTGAACCGTAGAATTGGCTATTGGATGTGTTTGTGAGCAATATGCGTTCAATTTCTAAATTATTCCAAGATTTCATGCAGATGTGAGCATATGCTGAGGTAGTGCCAACGAAACTGCTTCCTTTCTCACAATGACTACATGCTAGATCACCTCAGTAATTTTGGGGATCCTAATGACAGCATTTGCATGATTGGTTGGGCACTCAATTGGGTGCAGGGGAGGGTATAAGGTAATGAATAGGTATTTGTAGGACGGGGAACAAATCCAATTGGGCCCATGATCCAGGTGTTAACTGATTCCAGTCGGATTTATTTATGAACTAATTTTTTAAAAATGGAGTAATTTGTGAGAAACCTAACTATCGTGGCTCAGTTGTAAGGAATGCAAATGCAGTGTTATCAGAAATTCGGACGGTGCGGAATGAAGGCTTATTATGTTTATGCTCATACGGAAATATGCAGTCTATGTTTAAATTTGTTCAGTTGACCTATAATCGGATTTGTTGATCTTAATCATTCAGAGCTCACAAATTCTGCATTTGTGATATTCTTGTGTGTACTAGTTATGGACTTAGTAATTGCAATGTACGCTTCCATGATTACGAATTATATCCTACTAGAAGTATTTGTTGCAAAGTTTTTATCGGGATTGAATTATTTCCTGCCTGCCTGCTGGTCCCAATTGCTTACAATCAACATTGTAATAGCATCCGTGACTCCAGGTTCTTGCAGTAGATTTATCTTTGCAAGATAACTTTATGAGTTTCTCCCCTAGTCTTGCAAGTTATCCACTATCATTTCTCTGTTAATGCTTCCGAGACGTTGTTTTGTCTGAGTGCACACTTCTTGTAGGGAAACTTATGGTATATTTTACGTCAAGTTGAAATATCAGTGTTTTAGTATAGATAAGTGTCCATCTGTTTTGCCTTTTGAGATTTACAAGAAGAGTAATTGTTCTCCTGGTAGGCCTTGGGCCAATTCCTTAATTCACTAGGGAATGTGTTTGCAGGAAGTAATCCACCACCCAAACCATGGGAACGTGCTGGAACTTCATCTGGTCCAGCGCCTTTCAAGCCCCCATCCGGGGGTAGCACTAGTGATATCGTCGAAGCTTCTGGCACAGCAAAACCTGGGGAAGTTGTTTCTGCCGCAGAGAGCAATGTTGCTTCCAATGTGAACAGCACCATCTCTAGGCCTGTGCCCCCACGGCCTTGGCAGCAGCAAGGATACGGAAATTCTTATGGAGGTAATCATTAATTCTGTAATCGCATAATCAGATACACTTAGTGGCTCAGAATCTTAACCTCTCGATCAAAATGCAGGTTATGGCTCCAGTATGTATAGTTCGCTTGGTGGGTTTGGTGGACCTTATAGTAGCGGCGGACTTTACGGAAATAACATGTATTCAAGTTATGGAGGAGGTTATGGGGGTATGTATGGAAGTTCTGGAATGTACGGTGGGTCCATGTATAATAGCGGGATGGGAGGTCCCTATGGTGGCTATGGTATGGGCATGGGTGCTTACAACCAAGGTCCAAATTCATTTGGGCCACCAGCACCACCCCCTGGTTTTTGGATGTCCTTCCTGCGAGTGGTAATACACATTTTCTACCAAGTCACTCCTGGATTTGATACCGATTATTGTTTTTAATTGATCTTTAACAAACTAGAGCATGATTGCCACGTTTAAATTTCTGTGGAACTTAATTTGCAGCCATAACATGTATTTGCTATCACCATGTTATTGTTACATATGAAGTTCATGATTTTTTTTTATTTCTATTGTAGGAAGCCTAGTAGATGGAATTCAAAGTCCATGTAGCAATTCTTGTCTAACTTGTAGTTAATTTATTGCCTCATATACATTACTAACTCTGTTCTCAAAAAAATGTCATTTTAGAATGCCGTAGCCATTTCAAAAACATTGGCAACACTTTATATCATTATATTTTTATTAATGTTGACGAGCATATAAAAAAAACAGTGGTCAAATGTGTTGATCTTGTTGACATTCCAAATGGCAAGTAAAAAAAGATCGGTTGTAGTAAAAAGTGAACTTTACCCTGTGATTGGTATGCTGGGAGTGGAGAACACAGTTTCCTAACCTTTTCTCATTGATTGCAGATGCATGGTGTTGTGAATTTTTGTGGGCGAGTTGCTTTCCTTTTTAGCCAGAACACACAGGCATTCCACATGTTTATCTCAGCTCTTTTGCAGGTATCTTCTGAATTTGATTTGAATTTGATCCAAGTTTATACTTATAACCTTCCTGATCCACCGTTGTCTTCATCGTAGCTATGTGATCGGACTGGAATGCTTTATGGTGAACTTGCGAGGTTCGTTCTACGCTTGCTTGGGATCAAAACAAAAGCAAAGAAGGGTGGGGTTCAGGGCGCAGAAACTTCTTCGTTTGAAGGTCCAGGGCATCATTTTGCTGAGGCACCAAAAGCTAACAACTCCTGGGACAGTGTCTGGACTGATGATGGTAGTGGGAAGTAAGGCAATGTTTGTGCAGAGTGAGTGTTTTGTGAGAGAATCATGATGAGTTTGTTTATGGGGGAGAAATAATCTGTTGACATCTGTTCATATGCTATTTGCATTTGAATGAGAGAGAAAAAAAAGAAGTAATCACTAATGCTTTTTGTATGTAATGCTCTTCCCTAGTAACATCTGTAGCTCTGTAAAAACAAGCTGTTAAAGCACCTCCCTGGAAATGCCAGAGTGCTAGTAATATAGCAATATCTGTGTAGTAAATATCACCGTCTTAAAAAAGGTAGACAGAAATATAATGTATTCCTTTAAACTGAAAAGTAAAGAGACTTTCTTTTTTTTTAACTGAAAGTTCTAACACGGGCTTTGCAATGGTGGTACCAAGTTGGGTTAACTAATTGTTTTGCAACAGGCGAACCGATCAAGAGTTCGCTGCATGCACCCCCTTGCAATTGTTTCAGTTCTTGTAGAAGGTACTCTTGGCAATTGTAAAGCCTGTGTGGTGCCTGGTATGAAGTGAGCTAAAGTTGGGAGGCTTGGTCAAAACCTTACTGAATAAACACATTTTCCGGTGACTTCATCTATCAGATTTACCTGTCTCTCCTTATTGAGCGTGGTTCGTCCCAGGTGCATTTCTTTTGCGTTGTGTTTGCCCTTTGAAAATGGTTGCAAAGCCTAAATATCTCAGAGCTCTTGTGTATTTTTGCCGTGTCGATTTATATATGGCATGGTCTTGTTATGATAATCTTGTATAACTGTCTGAATCCCCATCTCTGTTGGACGATGATCTGTCTGGTCTTTAAAAGTCATCATATCTGCAGTACAGCCTATGCTATGCCAACAAAATTACCAAAATTGCCATCTTATCCCCACCTAATAACAGAAACCCCCCTGCTGGCCTACTGTTCTCTTCTGGCTTCTACTCACCCCTATCCTGCTAAACAAGGGGAGAACAATTTATATATACATTTTTCTTCCCTGACTAGGGAAGGAGATAATCCACTCCAATTCAGCTGGAGAAAAAAAATGACTTCTTTGTGTGTTCATCTCCTGAAAATTAAATAAAGAAAAGGAGAAAGAAATGTTGGATGGCAGGAGGAGGGGAGTGGTGATGTCAAGTGGATGAGGAAGTAGTGTAGGAGGAGCCATCCTTCATCTCAACCTCCAAAAGCTCATCCATAACCTCCTCCCTTCCCTTTCTCTCGCTTCTCCCCTAACAAATCTCCACGTCTCCCCCCCTATCTTTGTCTTCATGTGCAGAAACTCAAAGATCTCTCTCCCTCACCTATATTACCTGCACCAACACCACTGACCACTCCCTCCTCCTGTTCTTGCTCCTTCCTCCCAGTGTCTCTCAAGGTAAGATAAGCTACATGCATATCAGTGTACAGAATTTGCTTTTCTATCGGTTTGATTTGAGTCATCTTTTCTTTCGTGATTTCTTCAGTCGTAATAGTTCTTCTGGCGTGGCCAAGAATTTGTTGCACGCATAGTTTCAAAATGACCAAATTATTAGGATCTATTGCATGTTGTCATCTTTGTTTCTGATTGATTTTTTAGTTCTCTTGTTTGTATGAGTGATGAGAGGTTTTTTTATATTTGTTCAGTTCCAACGTCGTTTGATCGTTGGTACAGATGATGAAGATTTCTTTTTTTGTTTATCATTTCTGTTAAAAGAATACCACATATTTTCTGCAGAAACAAAAAAAATGGGTATCTGCATGCACTCCAAGAGAAAGGAGTCCCTTGGTTTCTCTGATGATGGAAAGTCTTTTTTTTTTTGTTTACCTTGTTGCTATGAACTTTTAGCAGACTTGCATAGTTGCATGTGTTCTATCAGAAAAAAAAAAGAATAAGTTATCATCATGCATGTAGATGATTGTTATTTTAGTAGGAGGAAAGCTATAGCTCAATTCTTTTGACAGTGCTGTTCTTTGGGTGTAGAGCGGTGCAGGGTTCACAAGGCAGGAGAAAATGGGGGAGATCACCAATGTCATGGAGTACCAGGCCATCGCGAAGCAGAAGCTTCCGAAGATGATCTACGACTACTACGCCTCTGGAGCTGAGGATGAGTGGACTCTCAAGGAGAACAGGGAGGCATTCTCCAGGATCTTGTAAGCCATAATTCTTAATTACTTGATTGCTTGACATGTTACAAATTAATTGCACCACTACTCCTCCCTATGCCATATTGTGCATCAAAATATTTCATCTGTGTAAATGCCTCCCTATGAGTCTACCATGTACAAGTTCAATCTGATAGCTCATAGTTAAGTAGGATGGATCGACAAAACATTACTAGTTGTCCAATCCTGACCACTCGGTCTTTTTACTAGGTAGACTAGTTTAGCATGAGCACATCGTATTCTTTTCAAAATAGAGTTAAGGGCATTTCATTAGTTCAGTAAAATTGCCAATCAGTGAAACTCTCAGCTAATCATAATCTTATTCCCAGACCCAGAATATCTATCATACAACATCTAACGTTATCACTTTCTCCTACGAAAGCTTTAGCAAATGACTTAAATTTTTCAATCACATTCCTTAGGTTGAACATTTGTTAATTTTTCAGCCCACAATCTGACTGTAACCTTTTCTGGCTAGGTTTCGTCCCCGCATCCTGATCGATGTCTCAAAGATCGACATGTCCGCAACTGTTCTTGGGTTCAAGATATCAATGCCCATAATGATTGCTCCCAGTGCCATGCAGAAGATGGCTCACCCTGACGGTACATATGCCATTTCAATTATGTTGCTTAATTGTTGTACAGCCTTACATTTAGCCCAAACTCAAAACCAAAAGTAATTTCATCCATCAACATTAGCATATTATATTGTTTTAAAAAAAAGCATATTACTACTACAAAAACTGAAAATAAACTGAAGTTGTTAGCATGTAACAAGCAAGCACATGATCTACATTGATCTTTGCATAGAATTGGGCTAACTAAAATACCATATGTATTCAGGAGAGTATGCAACAGCCAGGGCAGCTTCAGCAGCAGGAACTATAATGGTATGCTATCTACATGTTGTCATGTTCAATAGCAAACAACATTTCCTTGGATGCATAACGAAACCAAACCAAAACAGAAATTCAAACTTGCATGAACGCCAATGTTAATTTGGTATCGCCTTCATGTTTCAGACACTGTCATCTTGGGCTACTTCAAGTGTTGAGGAGGTCGCCTCAACTGGACCAGGAATCCGTTTCTTCCAGCTATACGTAAACCATATCATATCACTCTGCTCATGTAGCATACTTTGGCTACATTTTATTTTCGTATCTCATTTTCTTGTATGATCTTGCATACATCTACAGGTGTACAAGGACAGGAATGTGGTTGAGCAGCTTGTCAGAAGAGCCGAGAGAGCTGGGTTCAAGGCGATCGCACTGACCGTGGACACTCCGCGACTGGGACGCAGGGAAGCTGACATCAAGAACAGGTGAGTTCTTAACTAGCCACCTGAATTTGGCACGATCTAGAAATGAATTTCAGCGAGTTGTCGTAAATGTTAAGTGATGTGATCAATGGCTGCGTTGTTGCAGGTTCGTTCTGCCACCATACTTGACACTGAAGAATTTCGAAGGCCTGGACCTCGCAGAGATGGACAAGGTCGGTTAATTCAGCCAAAAAAAAAAACAGTTATTTTCTCTGAAGAAAAAATGGTCTGTTCTATGCAGCAATTTGAACCATTTCGTTGGCATTTGCAGAGCAACGATTCCGGGCTGGCCTCCTACGTCGCCGGGCAGATCGATCGCACGCTCAGCTGGAAGGTAATGATCAATGCTCATCGATGCTACAACAAACTTACCAGCAAATTAACTTATCGAAATTACTGTTCTTGATGCTAAGATCGGGAGAAATTCTGACGGTGTGTGTTGTTGATGATGATGCAGGATGTGAAGTGGCTGCAGAGCATCACGTCGCTGCCGATCCTCGTCAAGGGCGTCATCACCGCGGAGGATGGTAGGATAGCTTCCTGTTTCTTGCATTTCTTCTGATTTGACTGATTTGAAATCCACAAAATCACAAAGGAAACTGATGCGTTTATGCGCGCGTGCGCAGCGAGGCTGGCCGTGCACTCCGGCGCGGCGGGGATCATCGTGTCGAACCACGGCGCGCGGCAGCTGGACTACGTCCCGGCGACCATCAGCGCCCTGGAGGAGGTGGTCACGGCGGCGGCGGGGCGCATCCCGGTGTACCTCGACGGCGGCGTCCGCCGCGGCACCGACGTCTTCAAGGCGCTCGCCCTCGGCGCCGCCGGCGTCTTCGTAAGTCCTTCGATCGATAGCCGATGATCTATGGCGTGATACATGTCATCGTCGTCGTCGTCGTCTTGATGGATTGAATTGCGTTTGCAGATCGGGAGGCCGGTGGTGTTCGCGCTGGCGGCGGAGGGGGAGGCCGGGGTGAGGAACGTGCTGCGGATGATGCGGGAGGAGTTCGAGCTCACCATGGCGCTCAGCGGATGCACCTCGCTCGCCGACATCACCCGCGCCCACATCTACACCGACGCCGACCGCCTCGCCCGCCCCTTCCCCAGGTTGTGAGGACCTCGCCGCCGCCGCCGCCGGCGAACTCTAGCCAAACAATAAACAATATCGACGACGCCAGAGAGCACGCCGATTAATTAATTAGGTAATTTTTGCAAAAGAATCTCGTCGATCCACACGCGCGCAAGCAACACACGTACTCCGTGCACCCCTCGTAACTGGGTCGTTCATGCTCTTAATCCCAACGATTAATTATACTGGTATAATCTTTGTAATTTCGAGTACTGTACACCTATTTGGCATCTGTATATCTCGCCTTAAGATATTTACGGAACCGGTTTATATACTCCTTTAATTTTTAATTAACGGAGTTCAACATATATATAAGTTACTTCATGAAAGATATGGATGTGAACAGGAACGAAATAGTGCTACTCTCTCACTTTACTATGCTTTGGATCGAGTTTAAACTGATATAGTTGTCTAAGTTTGCATTGAGAGGACATATAGTGAAAATAGATGAACTTTAAGTTTATGGATTTCATTTAATGTTTTAACGGGTCGGCCAAAAGTTAGCCGACCAATTTCATTAAGATTTGGGGGGAAAATACAGTAAAATGTTACAACGACTTACAATACCGTGGTTGCCAGGGAAAGACCCCAGCCAACCAAGAACGAGAAAAGAAAGTAGGGCTAAACCCCGCAGACAGTCATGGCGATTACTCGCGAAACAGCCACCCTCCAGACAGCAATTTCCTCTTCAATATCCTCCGCAAGTTATTCCGGTGTCTTGGGCACATGTTGAAAAATTCTTGCATTACGATCCTTCCAAATCAACCAACAAATTAGCATGAATGCACTGTCAAAATCCGTCCTGTAGCTCGTCCGGAAACAGCATCTTGTTAAATTTTCAGGGTGGTAGATGCCTAGGCTAATCTAATCTAGCAAGGCGATTTAGCCGATACCGGCAGAAACCCTAAAGCGAGAGACAGCCGATAGAGCTAAATTGATATGCTAAGACTAGATTAACAGAGACATGATAAATAGGTAGCAAATATATCATCCAAACCAGAGCAATCCAAGAGGTCGAATGTACTGATGCAGCCTTGAACGACGCCGACGTAAACGATACAATTGCCCGGGCCGGCGGAACATTGGACTTACCCTTTAGCCAGAGATCGAACACCGATGCAGCCCCGCGTCAAGTGTCAAGTCCCGCCGGACGATAAAATAAAGTAGAAAAGGTAAAAGGTGGCGATGCGCCGAATTGTATTGATCGTGAAGATAGATTACATAGACCCCAGGTGTATATATTTATACCCACGGGTTGATACAATTCCTTGTCGGACAAGAAAGAAACTTTCCTAAAGATAAAAGGAAAAGATAAAGTCCTTATAGGATACTAAACACACTTTCCTAAAGATAAAAGGAAACTAACAAACTATTCCTAATTAATAGATAACTTGCCACGCCACATTCTCTTTGAACTCGGTCTCTTTTGGATAAGCTTCCTTTAGTAGATCAATTTCCTTAACCGAATATAGCAAGAATCCGACAACTGACGACTTGACAACTCTCATCGGCTAATCTCAGGACTTCGAAGCCGATGCTGACTCTAAGCCGATGACTACTCCGAGCTTACCAAATTTCACTGTTAACAGCCGCCGAGCGAAATATGGTCTCCACATCATTCCCAGGCCTGAAAGTCGCCATCGTCCAGGGCCTATCCTTCTGTTCCAGTGATTTCGCATGCCACTTCAACCTTAGGGCTTGACCAAATGACCAAAGAAATTCAGGTGGTCTCGGTGTGAAGGACATGAATTTCATTTAATGTTGACAAAAAGATTGGGGATATATAGTGGACTTATTTCTATTTTACCCTACAGTTAGCCCATATTTAGCAATGGGCCAGGCCAGCTGCCTGAAAGCAAACTAGGCTATCCGTGATTGATCGATTAGAGTGTAGTTCTCAGCCCAACGAGATAACCGCTTTTGTGAGACTGTGGAATCCGGATATGATACACTTTTATACTACGTTTGACATCAGAACAGTTAGGGGTCACTTTTACTTCATTTGACACCAGGATAGTTAAACTTTGCTCTCCTGGTGTAGCTCAGTGCAGCAAGCACTACCGAATAGCCCCTACTTCAGAGAGTAAGCTTTCATAGTCATAGTTAAGGGCTCCTTCAAAACACAAGAGGTTTATTGAATTTTAGTGGGAAATCTCATTCAATTCTCCGACATTTCAGCTCCATTATCGGGCTCCTTTGAAACGCAGGAACAGAAAAAAAAAAGCATGATTGAAGTGCCCTAACATCTGAAATATATCCTATGGACTGAAAAATTATAGGAAAACTGCATGAATGACCGTTTGGATGTAGTGTAGGAAAAACGTAGGAATTGGATAAGAGAGAGACAAACATAAACGGTTTCTTTTAAAGAGGTTGAAGCTCATGTTAGAATTCCTCCAATTTCCTATGTTTTGAGTCAATCCAGATGAATTTCATTGGATTTTTGGATAGCTATTTCTTTCATTCAAATCACCACATAGGAGTTTTTTCTTCATAAGATTCCCAAAATTCCCATGAAACAAGGGAATTATGGAGGAATTTATTAGCATTCAAATCCTTAGTCCTTTGAAATAAATGATTGGAGCTTCTCAACTTCTGTGAAATTCTTAGGGATTGACTTGATGCAAATAGATTTTGGAGGAAAGTTAGTTAAAGCTCTAACCTCTTAGAAATTTCCTTAAAGCCTATTTCTCTTATTCGATCTCTACGTTTTTTATGGTCTATTCAAATAATCATTCATGTGTGTTTTGTGACTTGCATTCCTACTAAAATCATTGTTTTCAATTTCTTTTTTTCTCAATCCTGTGATTGAAATGAACGGTTCAAAGGGAAATTCCTCCATTCAAAAGAAGTAAAGCCTTACTGTGCAGTATGCACTATTACTAGGCCCCATTGTCTCCATATTTTTTGCTTATCAATAGCTGCTGCTAGAGAGATTATTATACTGTCACCCTCACCTCCTGCTATTTGGTTGGTGATGTTCTTCTTTTCATCAGCCTGTTAGTGGGACCCCCCAACCTACAACATTTTCTACTTATACATAGTACTACTACTTCGTCACTTCCATCAGAGATGAAAAGAGAATAGAAAAGGCACCATCAGTTAAAAAAAAGGCATAAAAAGGGGGAAAGAGAGGATTGGATCGGATTCGAAATCAAAGTTTGGTGTGATGGGTGGTTGAACAAAATCTAACTGAAAATCCAGTGAGACCCATTTGACAGGAAGGGGAATAAATTTATTAGTTTGGACCACGCTCACACTTGCAGGATGACATGAATGTTCTGTTCCTTTGCAACTTGGAGGAATTATATGTTCAACAGTTCAAGGCACGCATGTGTGTATAGTAATGTATTCCAGGAAAATACAAACCAGCAGATTGAGTCATATAAATTCATATATATCAGTCATGTCTCTATCCTGCAATGTTGCCCTTTTGTCTGTATTTTTTTATAGTCCCAATTGGATCACGCTCTCAGAGATAGTCTGTACGTATAAAATATTTTTCTTACTTATTTTGATATCCTTATTTAGCACGAGAACTTAAAATAATAAGCTACTGCCACCAAGGATTGTTCACACTAAAAAAACAGTTGTTTACATTATTCGTCATATAAGCCTTTGCTAAAATTTAAAACTTAACTTTACAGCTGATTTTAGGGTTTTCATCCATTGCAGTTTATTTCTCAGCATTAGGCTTTAAATCATTAAAGAAATATATATGACATTTTTATCCACAACTTATTCAATCGGCTGTACATGAAATGATAGAATTAAAAATAAATTTCGATCAAATTTCAATACCGAATGTCATCTATATTAAAAAATAATTAGTTGATCAAACGCCATTAGTCGTCCGGACTAGACTGTGCCGCTGGCGCTGTTGACCGCCGTGGGGCACACGAGTCCATGTGACGCCCTGTTCGCACATGGAAACAGGCGATCGATTGCTTGACTATTCATGAATTTACAACGCTGGTTGGTGTAGCATGAAACTGATGTAGGTAAGGTAGAGCATGAAAGAAGGGAATCGAGAACGTGAACACACCCTAGCTATCTAGTGGTGTTTGTATCAGGGACTTAACTTTAGTCTCTATATTTAGACACTAATAATTTAGAGTATTAAAATATATTACTTATAAAACTAATTACATAAATGAAAGCTAATTTGCGAGACAAATTTTTTAAGATAATTAGAGAATGTTTACTATAGCATCGCATAGGCTAATTATGGATTAATTAGACTCAATAGATTCGTCTCGCGAATTAGTCCAAGATTATAAATGGGTTTTATTAATAGTTTACGTTTAATATTTATAATTAGTGTCCAAACATCCGATGTGATAGGGGCGACTTAAAGTTTTAGTCCCATCTTAAAAAAAAGCTTTTTTTAGGCCTTTTGTTTTTGCCCAAAGTACATCCCTGGATTTTGGAAAAGACCAGGCTATGTATAGCAACATGTTGTATTGCTATATATGTGCAGGCACATAAATAGATAATTAAGTAGTTGCAATATGTGTATGTTCAGTTTCATACATTATCATGTTTGTTTGTGAGGAAAAGTCAGTGCTCTGTTGGGCTTTGTTGCAAACAGTATTAGAGACATTGACTGTCAACCTGCCATCCAACATATTCTCTGTGGCTGCATAGCACAAACGTACTATGTACATACAAATGTGTTGCTGTTAGCCCAACAATGGCTATTTTATCATCTACTCCCTCCGTCCAGAAAAAGACAAACCGTGGGTTCTCGTGCCAACATTTGACTGTCCATCTTATATGATTTTTTTTATAATTACTATTGTTGTTAGATGATAAAACATGATTAATACTTTATGCGTGACTTATCTTTTTAATTTTTTTTCATAATTTTTTCAAATAAGACGGACGGTCAAACGTTGGACACGGAAACCAGGGTTTGTCTTTTTTTTTTTTGGCACGGAGGGAGTACTTCTTTTAGCTAGGTTCGTATGCAGTATTCAGGTTCGTTGTATTACTTAAATGAAAGTTTTTTTTAGAGAAGGAGGTAATATTTTTGTAATGAAATAACTCAGACCAACAAATGGGTATGCAATATAAGTAGGTCAGAAGCACGTAAATAGCCTACAACCTACTTCACCAAACCATTGCCACAGATTATCTGCTCCACGTATGTAACATAATATGTTTTGTAAAAAAAAAAATCTTCTATTGCATTGTTTGGACCACTTATTTTAGGCTATTTATATTTACTTTATATATTAAATTGTTTAATTTATCTTTATAATCGAATAGATAATCCACACTACTAATCCGATGAATAATCACGGGCGCCTCGCTGTCAACATATACG